GACGCCGCTCACTCAAGGCCGCCGTGTGTGACACTGTGTTTCGTTGTGAAAGCGAAACTACTTTGGCCTTCCAAATGAGGACACGACCATTTTGAACCTTAAACCGCATAAACACATTTCATTACACCAAATACTCAAAATAAATGTTCTTTTTAGCAGCATCATATGACCCCTTTAAACTGAAAAAATGTATCACCTGCGTTAACGTGCTTTTTTTGAGAGCACTAATATATATATATATATATATATATATATATATATATATATAAATATACTGTATATATTTAAAAAAAAATTACTTGTAGGTAATATTAATGAAATAAAAGGCTAGTTAAGTGTACATAGAGTACACTTTCATGACAGTTTAACACTCTTAAGAACAAGAAAAAGTGCACTTTGTGATCATGTCAAATACATTTTTTTTTACTTCAAAGTACATTATTAATCAGTTTTAATCATTTTTTGTACACTTTTGTTGACTAACAAAGCACGTGTAAAGTATGTGATTATAATTTGAACTGTAGTTTGTTATTTGATACTAGATTAGTAGTTCATATATTTTAAATGTCCTACATTTCAATTTTAGCATTACAAATGTTTAACTGCCAAAGTCCAAAAAAGACTAATAACTAAAGATTACAGTAAAAAGCACCAAAAAGTAGGTTACACAATTTGTGTACTATATTTTTAGTCTTCTGAGGTCATATGATAAACCTATAACAACTGATGAAGTCCGACCTGTCAATTTATTACAAGTTAATGTCTACAAAAGACCTGGAATACAGGCAAAGTCATCTAGACTGCATTTACAATGCTTTTATTATGCTTTTTTGCCCTTTTTGAAATGTGACAGATGAGACCACTATGAACTGTCAGAAAAGATCTCTATGAAGATTCATTAAAAATTCCATTTGGAACAACATAGCAGGGAGTAAATTATGATAATTTTCATTTTTGAGAGAAATACTGTTTTAACACTCATTAGTTGTACATTAAGAAACTTTTGCAAATGGGTATTTTTGGCGAGCCCTCATCTTTAAAGCATTCTCGGGTAAGAAATAAGATACAAGATAAGAAAAGAGATCGCTACATCTTATCTTTAAAGGGGTCATATGATGCTGCTAAAAAGAACATTATTTTGTGTATTTGGTGTAATGAAATGTGTTTAAAGTTAAAAAAACACATTATTTTCCACATACTGTACATTATTGTTTCTCCTCCTTCTTTATGCACCAAGAGCTTGTAACACTCCAAAGAGAAAGGAAAAATTCAAATCGCATCATATGACCCCTTTAAAAGAATGTGCACTTACTGGCCATGAACACAAACATAACAGATCTGAATTTGAGCACATGTGTAACACGGAACAGAGTGTGCACGCAGAAAGACTTCACTTTAGAAAAAGCACACAGACTGTCAACTTCAACACGTATAAAATTAATTGTTATTAACTTTGGAACGTCAGCTGGCAGCACGTCCATGACTTTTCATTACAATGACGCTCAGGAGACAGCGATTTAGTGCTCCACAGAGCCCTCGGCCTAACTTGCTCTCACTGACTGGAAAACCTACCAGAACTGCCAGGGAGGCCAGAAAAGCGCATGGTTATTATCTAAACAGATTAATGCATATTCCAATTTGACCCGACGCAAGGTTTTCACTCACTACATTCCAGGAAAATAACTTTTGTGTCAAAGGAGAAAGAGCTGAGAGTGCAGAAAGGATGAAGGGCAGCTAACGTCTCGCCCATCGAGCCGGTTGAGGCTGACCGCTATCAATGGCATTTTCCTGTTGTCACATTCCATTCACTTTTCTTTCTCTCCGCACCGCTCTTGCGCCGTCCTTCAGAAGGCTTTTCAATAGGATTACTGAATAATGCCAACCCCCCTCCCCGAAAACGGACCTGTACCCCCCTGAAACCCCTCGCACTCGCTGACTCTCTCCTGCTTTCAGTTCATCAGTGGATTCAGAAGGCTCTCTTCATTGGAGACGGGGAACAATGCCTTACTTCATCCTGTGGAATGTCAGGCCCCCTTTCCTCCCAGCCTCCCCAAATAATCCAGCCCCTCTCTCCCATGAAACCCTCTCTCTCTCCCGGCCCGGCAAACCCTACTTTCTTAATCTGAACAAAATGAGAATTCCAAAGAAATGCTTCACCTCTCTTCCCGTGCTCACACATGCTCGGCCCGCAAAGTGCACCATTTGTTTTTCGCCTTTGTATCACCTTTCTCCTCTCGCTAAAAGCCCGCCGGCCCGCAGCACAGATGCCCTGCGCATAATGTGTGAGACTTTGAAGTGTTAAGTGGCCATGCATCTGAAAGCGTCGTCTGGTATTCTCGTAAACAGTCTTTCACTACCCATAGGCTTCGTCGACACAAACAAGACAACTCAGGTTTATAAACAAACAAGGCACACTGTGCTGCTGTCAATTCCATCTCAAGCTAACACACAGTCAGGTGAATGACAAGAGGTGTGTGTGCTCGTGTGAGAGACGGACAGGGGAATGCAAGTGTAGGGCTTTGAGGGCTTTTCTAAATGCCCCATCCTGCTGTGTAACCACGGATACCGGAAACACCGCAGGCCTCGCATTTAGCTCCCCTCTCACGAGTGGCCCTCGGCCCCTGGCCCAACACAGGGAGAGAGATAGAAGGCACCCAGCTCCACGCTCCATTGACAGAGATTAAACCTTAAGGGCCGCCTTCCCGCCTTCCTCCAGATCCCGAGGAATTTCAGAGCTGTCACAAGTTTAATGTCAGGGGGGAGCAAAGAACGAGGAGAGGGAAACATAAGAAAAGATGGGAAAGAGGTGAGGATGAGAATATTTTCCAGGTTTGCAGGTTTGTGTGCCATTACCAAAGAAAACATGAATTTATATGAGCCACTTGTCAGAAAACCACTTCAAGGACACGCATGCTAAATCACAGTCAAAAGAAAAGATGGGAAAGAGGTGAGGATGAGAATATTTTCCAGGTTTGCAGGTTTGTGTGCCATTACCAAAGAAAACGAATTTATATGAGCCACTTGTCAGAAAACCACTTCAAGGACACGCATGCTAAATCACAGTCAAGTGAAATTAATTTTTGTAGTTCTTGGAAGATTTTTGTGCATATGCATCAAGGCATGACTAGAGACAATAATTACACCCCAATGAAATGCAAAAAAACTCAAATGTTTGCTAAACTGCTTATGGGTCAATGACACAATGGCGTTTTTTTTGGTCCAAATTTACTAATTTACTTAAATACATTAAAACACAATTCATGTATGCAATGATTACCAGAAAAAAGCAGTGAAGCACATATGTTAAAATATTACTATTCAAAAAACTTTTGTTAGCTAAATTAAAGCTGCAGTCCGTAAGTTTTGCCTCTTTGTCACCATCTCTGTTTGAAAACCTGGAATTGCAGCTGTGTGCGGAATTATCTAGCTTGCGTGGGTTGTGCGGCGGCACGGCTCCAGCGCAGATGAATCTAATGTTCTGAAGAGTATGTGTGGCAGTCAGTCACCGCACCAGTGTGGATATTTACTGTACTTCGCAATCACAGATTCTAGCCTACATCTTGGAATATGACCCAAATAAGAATTTTCACCGTATATTGCCATCTGAACAAGTAAGTAACAAGTCTGCCTCGTTTGTTCTGACCAACTGAGGAAAAAAGCATTACAATAAATCGCACTACCAATGGTGATTTAATCTAAAGATCGGTTAGCTCATATCACATCAAACCGTTCAAATTATTATTATTGTTATACTTTATTCTCAAATGATTAATGTTAACAACATCAGCATTGGTGACTATGAGTATAGTGTGTATTAGCGTGTAGGTTTCAATTTCTGCACAGTCTAATCTAATTGTCATACTCTTCGAATTTCATATTAAGAAATTCTTTTAAAGTAGGGCTGCCACTAATGACCATTTTTATTTCGATTAATCTATCGACTAATTTATCGATTAATCTTAACGATTAATTCCCCACAAAAAAATCAACAATTTTACTTAACAA